GGTTAGTAGTAGAGTAGTGGAAGTAGGACCGGAAGTAGCAATTCTTTGAACTCTGTGTACTATGTGCATCATGTATATAAGGTAGATAGGTACCATTAATTATGATGATCAAATGTTTCATAGTAGGTACTGAATTGAATATCTTGAGAACGGTAATACTTCGTATATGTTTGCATGTATGTAATGCCCGTTAAAAATCCGCCATTCGAAGTTCCCACATGACCCTTGCATCTTGAAAAATGGTGAGGGGGAGTGGAATCAGAAGGGTATCTCAAAAACGAAATTACTTTGTGTATAGGTATGTTTGCAAGAATGAATCAGCCATTTCAATCCATGAATGGTTGTAATATCCTCATAGCACTTGTATCTTGAAAAACCGTTAGCGCAAATGGAGCCGGCAATATGTTAACTATGTAGGTATATCATAGGAATCATGTTAGTCAGCATTCACCATATCGGGGAATTATAATTTTTCGTAGTCAATATTTCTCTCCAAGGATTGAGGTTCGTATCCTATTCACATATCATTTTGACAGTGTGTCATTATTTCTCATCATACACCAACCACTAACCCATAGCAAGCAGTCGTTATTACTTAATTTCGTTAAACCTATTATTTACCAATGTCCCATCCTCTGTATTATTCCATTACATAACAACAGATAGCAAGATGACATTTTTGATTTATCTGTCAGCGTATTTTTCTTTCGGGAAACTTGATTTCATCAACTTCGTATATTCACAAACTTTCTATCCTGTGTATTATTTCATTTCATTATAATCCAACCAATAGCAAGTAGCGATTTTGAATGATCTGTCATCGTATTTTATACCAATGCCCGCCCCATCCTCTGTATTATTTCATTTCATTATATTGCAACCAATAGCAAGTAGTGATTTTTAATGATCTGTCATCGTATTTTATACCAATGCCCGCCCTATCCTCTGTATAATTTCATTTCATTATACTCCAACCATATTGAATAATCTGTCATGTCTGTCATGTCTGTCATGTCTGTTCATGAGAAACTTAATATCATTACACTAGTATATCCACCATTATTCCTTTCTCTATATCATTCCATTCCGTTACACAACAACAAATAGCAAGCTGCCATTTTGTTCTATCTGTCATTGTATTTTTTCCCGAGATTCTCAATTTCATCAACCCCGTATATCTACACCCACCCTCTGTATTATTTCATTTCATTACACTCCAACCAATAGCAAGCAAGCATTTTGATTGAGAAACTCAATTTTATCAACCCCGTATAGATGATTACAATTGTCCCATCCTTTGTATCATTCGATTCCATTAGACAACAACAAATAGCAAGCTGCTAATTCCGATTTATCTGTCATCGTATTTTTTTTCATGAGAACATTAATTTCATTCACCCTGTATACCCACCAACGTCCTTCCATTCCACTCCAACCAATAACAAGAAACCATTATGATTTAACTATTATCGTAAATATTCAACTTATATCCCAGCCTTTATATATTTTTCGTATCCTATAATCTCCAATTTTATATTTTTATCATACTTCAGACGACCCCCCAAATGAGTGCGACTATCTTCACACTGATCCACGTTCTTATTCGTTCACTGCAAAGGTCAATGACTTTGTGAGACTTCATTCGAGATAACGACAATCAAAAACCAATTAATTAGCACCTTACGGTTAGGCGGCAACATCAAAGGGTAGAGATTTTTCCACGGTCTTCAAAATTTCCCCATGCCCAAGTAAGGCCCTACTAGCGCTTGTCGCGAGTGCAGATCGGCGCTGACTTTTTACCGGAACGAATTTGTAGTTCTTGGTCGCTGGTTGTCGGAGCTGATACGTTGATACGTTCAAATTGGAGTAAAACTAAACATTATCGATCACTTACCTGGATATTATTGCATGAAATGGATGTCGAATCATTAATTTCTGTTATATTTCAAAGAAATGCGTTGTGAGACAAACGACTTAAGTCCCACAGTAACAGGGATATAGTGCAGAGGTTATGGAAGGAAATTTCTAATGAAATGGAAATTGAGGGTGAGTTTTGTTTATTTCGAAAATATTTCAAAGTAGTTCGTTTCTATAATTCAAAGAATTATTAGTACAGAAATTTTCAAATATATCCCTTATGGTTCCTGCTGAATTTGACGGTCTTCCAGTAGGCTGATTGTTTTGTGTTCTTGGCACAATTTCTATATCAGTTAGGTGTCTTTCTATTCCTTCCCTATCAAAAATCGTGTTCTGTAAAATACAAACACATTTGATAATATTGTCTGCAACAACGATGTCAGTTTCGATGGCTTTAGACAAGATTCGCCACTTTGAATGTAGGATTCCAAAAGTACATTCAACGGTGTTTCGCGCCCTGGAGAGTCTACTATTGAAACATTTTTCTTCAATAGATGAATTAGTTCCTCCATATGGTTTGAGCATAAAATCTAAAAGTGGATATGCTTCATCTCCTATGAAAACATACGGGGCCTTAATGTTTGTTCCAGGTAGATAACAGACCGTTGGAATTTTTATTTGTTTTATGGTGAGTAGTTTATAAAAATCTGATGATTGGAATGTGCCGCCGTCACTCTGCTTTCCATATCCACCTACATCTATGGCAATTGGTTTGTAATTGGCATCAACTACTCCTTGGAGTAATACAGAGAAATATTTCTTATAATTGAAAAACATTGACCCAGATTTTTTTGAGCATATAATACGGACATGTTTTCCATCAATTGCTCCGATAACATGCGGGAAATTCCATGTGTTGTTAAAATCTTCCGCTATTTTTTGGAAGGTGTCCGTTGTCGGGTTGTAATTCTTTCCATAATGCTACTGTAGTTTCAGATATGATCTTTCCTACGGTTGAGGCTCCCATTCGAAACGAAAATGCAAGTGTTTTAAACGAACAGCCTGTAGCCAAATACCTGTAACAAATATTATTATTACCTTTGTTAGACGGTGCTGGTTTATCGAAAAGGGTCGAAAATAAACGGTTCTGAACCTAAATAATGTGGCATACTTTGATTTCTTTGGTTAACTCAAAATGTAAAGTATGTCCGATAGAAGCCGCACCATATGGAATTTATTTTTATTATTAATTCAAACGAAAATGTTTCACAGGGCGTATCTAAATAACACCGAAGGAATTAAAGGGGTGATTCTGTGATGAGAATCAATGTGTGGTTGGTAAATATTTTTTTGAAAAAACCCTTCCCGAAAAAGTTACACCCCTTCGAAAATTAAAAAAAAAAATGGTTCTGCTTTTTATTTTCCCTGTATATCAAGCTAAAGACACGAAACGTGGTGAACATCATCTGTCAATAAAAGTACACTTTTTGAAATTTTTTCAACCCTGATGTATGCTTAGAATAGGTTGAAATAATCAACCCCTAAGATATTTTTCCTTCAATAATAATTGATCTTGAAGATTCGCCTAACCAAGTTTCAAAAAATTGAGGACCGATGAAAGAAACATCAATTCTTACTCGAAAAACGTCAATCTGAAGTCCATTCTACAGGCCACTGCTGTTGGTCAAGCTCTACTCAGTTGGTACTCTTTGAAGGGGTCATTTTACAGCACTCGTCAAAGTTATTTAGTGGACATAATTGCTTTTCAGTTGTTGAATGAATTTACCGAGGTGGAAGAACAAGACATTACTGCAACAGATAATGAGGTTTCAATTGAAGACACTGAGTTAGACTCAGATGCATTGCCAAATGACAACTCTATCAGTGTACCAACTTCTAGTAGAACTGGGTATATTGAGGCTGACAAGTAGAAGAACTCTTCTGAAAAGACTGATACGCACAGGACAGCTATAGAAAGAAAACTGAATAGTAATTCTTGGAATGAAGATTTGGTAAAGATTGAACAACAAAAATTACAATATTTGCAGGAAAAGGCAAAGAAACGATCACGCGAAGTAGAGGAAGATGACCACTGCAGTTTTTTCAGAAGTTTGCTGCCCCACGTTCGTAAAATTACACCAAACATAATATTGTCATTTCGTGGTCGGATCCAGCTACTAATTGTAGACGAATATGCGTATGGGCAAAGCACGTTTTATGTAACCACTCCAAAGATTTTCCCTTATTCCTGTAGCACATATTCTTCGTCCTCACTATACTCTGCCTCGGCCCCTTCAACACATGGAACTGTACTTTACAATACCACAACTCATGAAAAAACATCCTCAGCAGAACCAGAGTCCACAGTGGACATGCTCAGTCTTTAACCACCTCTGTTAAATTTACTTTTCAATTTATTTTTCTCAAATGAATGACTTATCTACATTCAATAAATATTGTCAACAATAATTTTTTTTACTCACCTGATGGTTACCACGAGTCTTTCTTCTAGAAGGATTGGCTGCTTGTGCCAGTTACACCATGTTTTTGTCAACCACATTTTAATTTTTTTCAATATGTAGGTGAATGTCTCAAAGGTCATTCTCATATACTGAAAACATCGAAGTTCGTGTTGTTTCAACGATTGGAATAAATGGTGATATTCACCATAAACTTTCCGTTCACGATTTACTGGATGTATACCTTGCTTCGTATATTGCATCTTTAGAAATGTATTTTCCATCAATACAAAGTCTTCATCTGAAGATGAAGAAGACATCTTTGTAACAAGGAAATTGCTTTTGAACTGGCAGAAAACCGGCGTTCATTGTGTACTACTGTGATGAGTTGTAAGCGCTGGTTTTCGGCGCCGAAAATAGGCGCTGACAAACCTGATTTCTTTGTGTGTGTACCCTAAATGTAGAAACACAGTGGAAGCAGGTTACCTGCTTTCCGGTGGCCGGCGCATATCGGTGCTGGTAAGCTTTAGAAACTAATATATATTTTCAAATAGGTGGTAACACAGTGTAAGCAGGTTGAAGCTTGTCGGCGCCGGTGACCGGCGCCGACTTTTTTGTCGGAATCAAAATGCAGTTCTTTCTAGCTGGTTGTACACGCTGGTTGTGTTTTGAAAAGAGAAGAAAATGGATATTGAAGTATTAATTGCTGCAGTATTCAAAAGAACCCCTATATGGGATAAAAGACATAAGTTGCATAGCAACCGAAATTCAGTGGACAGGTATTGGAAGGAAATAAGTAATGAAATAATTGAAGATGGTAAGTACAATGTTTATTTAGCTTCGATTGATAATACCTGAAATAATATAAAGATAATATTCATATTATTTTTAAGTATATGACAAACGATTTCCAGAGAAATATGTAACAAAAATATCTCGAACATTTTTAGCTGTCGTTAAAGGTCGTCCAGTAATTTTTTTTTCATTATTGTTATTAAAAAATTCTTCAGACACATCAGTAAGGTGCCGTTCAAATCCTTCCTTGTCAATGATAGTATTGTGCAAGATACATATGCATTTGACAATGTTGTCTACTGTCTTAATGTCGGTTTCAATACATTTTGAAAGGAGGCGCCATTTAGCTGTTATAATCCCAAAAGAACACTCTATGGTTTTTCTAGCACGAGATAAGCGCTTATTAAAGCAATCTTCTTGCATACTAAGGTTCTTTCCACCAAACGGTTTCAAGAGGTAAGGAAGAAGTGGGTATGCCTCGTCTCCTATTAATACAAATGGAGCTTTCGTTCTTGTTCGGGGCAGAAAACAGGGTTCTGGGATATCCATTTGACTATTTTCTAACAAATGATACAGTTGAGAAGCTTTGAATGTACCACCATCACTCTGTTTGCCATATCCGCCTATATCTATAGCAATAAATTTATAATTAGCGTCTGCCACCCCTTGTAAAACGACAGAAAAATAATTTTTGTAATTATAAAACATTGAACCTGATTTTCGTGGACAGATAATGCGAATATGCTTCCCATCGATGGCCCCAATGCAATTGGGAAAATTCCAAATACTATTGAAATTGTTTGCTATGTTTTGGAAATCTTCTCTCTTTGGTACAGGCATGTGGAGTGGTTGTAATTCATCCCATATTGCAGTAACTGTCTCTGCAACAATCTGTCCTGCTGTAGATGCTCCAATTCGAAATGAAAAAGAAATAGACCTGAACGATGATCCGGTAGCCAAATATCTGTAACAAATTTCAATTTTGAATCATTTCGTGTTTTGTGAACATAGTTCGTATTGAATCTCTGATAGAAGTCCATATTTGCTCAAAGTGGAGTGGAATTTTTAACGGAGGGAAAATGATGTAAAATGTTCTCCTTCCCTCCGTTAATAGTTCGTATTGTCTTTATTATTATGATAATTCTCATATTATCACCATCGAGCAATCAGGTAAGTAATCTTTTGTTTTTTTTCAGAGGCCAAAGTGAGAAAAAAGTGGAAATACCTACGTGACCAATTTTCGGTTGAATTGGGGAAGTTGCCTGTTAGACGTTCAGGAGATGCTGCAGAAGATGACCTGCAATCTAAATGGCCATATTTTTCGCAGCTTCTCTTTCTGAAGGACATAGTGAAACCAAGAGCTTCCAGCGGAAATTTATCTAGTGGTAGGAAATCCACCCAGCAAACTTATGAGTATGACGCTAGCCAAGCCTCTACTGGAGGTGATCGTCTTGACGAAGATGAAGATGACAACCAAACCACACAAGATTCCAACCAAGATGAGATTGTTTCCGAAAATATTGAAGAGGGTGGCACCGAAAATAATGAAGAAAATGGTACCGAAAATGTTAAAAAGGATAGTGTACATAATAACTTAACTTCTCCAGCAAGTACCTCGACTGTGACCCCTGTGACTAAAAGAAGACGAACACTAAATGACACATTCAACGCTTCTGTATTAGAAATTGAAAAACGTAAACTGGAATACCTTGAGGCAAAATCCAAGAGAAATAAGGACCAAGAGGATGAGCATCTCCTGTTTTTCAAAAGTCTCTTACCTCATGTGAGAAAAATTCCACAATCCCGAATATTATCGTTTAGATGTCGGGTTCAGGAATTGGTCAACCAGTCAGCATACAATGAAACAGCAATCTGTACACAACCATCAACTTCTTCTTCGCCATTTTCTTGTTCAAACTCCTCGGGCTATGGAGTACCAAACCAGAATATTCCCCCATCAGATGACAATACTACTGCATACAATTTCTCACTAACGGATTATACCGATTTGTAAGGTTCAATTTATTATAATAAAGTATTCGTTCCTAACTTTGATTTTATTCATGATAAATCAAATAACTTAGGTACCTCAAAGTGATCACAAATCTTTCTTCAGGTAGAATCGGCTGCTTATGTAGATTACACCAATTTTTAGTTAGTCGGTGCTGAATTTTTTTCAAAATATACTGAAATGTTTCCCGATTCATTCGCGTGTATTGGAAGAACCTTTTCTCATCATTTTTCAATTTTTTAAATAAGTGATGATATTCTCCGAACTCTGACCTAACGTGATTTAGGGGATGGATACCGACTTTTTTTCTTGACAATTTCATAGCTACAGAATCTAGAGCAATCATATCATCGGATGATGATGACGACGACATCTTTTCTGCTCAAAGTTTCAAACAAAACTACCAGTTTCAGCCTGCTATTACTCGCTTTTACTCTGTCCACTCTAAGCGCGAGAAAACGGCGCCTATCGGCGCCGGCTGTCGGTAAGCGGAAAGTCTGCTTCCACTGTGTTTCTACACTAAGTGTAGAAACACAGCGGATGGTTATCTGCTTTCCGGTGGCCGGCGCATATCGATGCTGGTGAGCTTTAGAGACTCATATATATATTTTCAAATAGGCGGTAATACAGCGCAGGCAGGTTGAAGCTTGTCGGCGCCGGTGACCGGCGCCGACTTTTTCGTCAGAATCACAATACAGTTCTTTCTAGCTGGTTGTACACGCTGGTTGTGTTTTGAAAACAGATGAAAATGGATATTGAAGTTTCAATTGCTGCAGTATTAAAAAAAAACCTATATGGGATATAAGACATAAGCTACATAACAACCGAAATTAAATTTTTTCAAGTGATGATATTCTCCGAACCCTGATTTGACGTGATTCAGCAGGGGATGGATACCGACTTTTTTCTTGACAATTCCATAACTACAGAATCTAGAGCAATCATATCATCGGATGTTGATGACGACGACATCTTTCCTGCTCAAAGTTTCAAACAAAACTACCAGTTTCGGCCTGCTATTACTCGCTTTAACTCTGTCCACTCTGAGCGCGAGAAAACGGCACCTACCGGCGCCGGCTGTCGGTAAGCGGGTAGTCTGCTTCCACTGAAAGTAGGTTATGAGAAAATAAGTGATAGACTATACTTTTTAGGAAAATTCGAACTAAAATCATTATTTGTCAGCTATACGTTAAACTGATGTTCATCATACAGGGTGTGGAAAATTATGAATTGATAAAACCAAATCACGAATCTGTGATTGGAGATTTTTAGAAGCAAATTTCCATCATTCAAGTTTGGTAGATATGTTACAAATTCATTCAGTTCAGTCTTGGGAAATTCGCAGTAATCTTATTTTTATATTTCTAAAACTCACAATAATTGAAAGATTAACGCTAAGGTCAATAGTTTCAATCACATGAGTGACAAGTGTATTTTCAACAGACTTCAAGAAAGGAGAAGGTTTTCAAATCATTGAAATCTTTTTTATGCATGTCTAGAAGACGACTGAACCGATTTGGAAAATTCTTCTTTTGTTTTAAAGGGTATATATCCCAGGTGATCCTATTTAAATTTTATGAAATCGGTTGAGCCACGAACAAGTCAGTTTTATATATTTTGTGATGATGATTATTGATATACCTTTGAAAGAAAATATCAGAAAAGAATAATTGCAATTATTTTTATTTTACATTTTCATTTATTTATTCATTTATTCATTTATTCATTTATTCATTTATTCATTTATTCATTTATTCATTTATTCATTTATTCATTTATTCATTTATTCATTTATTCATTTATTCATTTATTCATTTATTCATTTATTCATTTATTCATTTATTCATTTATTCATTTATTCATTTATTCATTTATTCATTTATTCATTTATTCATTTATTCATTTATTCATTTATTCATTTATTCATTTATTCATTTATTCATTTATTCATTTATTCATTTATTCATTTATTCATTTATTCATTTATTCATTTATTCATTTATTCATTTATTCATTTATTCATTTATTCATTTATTCATTTATTCATTTATTCATTTATTCATTTATTCATTTATTCATTTATTCATTTATTCATTTATTCATTAATTCATTAATTCATTTATTCATTTATTCATTTATTCATTTATTCATTTATTCATTTATTCATTTATTCATTTATTCATTTATTCATTTATTCATTTATTCATTTATTCATTTATTCATTTATTCATTTATTCATTTATTCATTTATTCATTTATTCATTTATTCATTCATTCATTTATTCATTTATTCATTTATTCATTTATTCATTTATTCATTTATTCATTTATTCATTTATCCATTTATCCATTTATCCATTTATTCATTTATTCATTTATTCATTTATTCATTTATTCATTTATTCATTTATTCATTTATTCATTTATTCATTTATTCATTTATTCATTTATTCATTTATTCATTTATTCATTTATTCATTTATTCATTTATTCATTTATTCATTTATTCATTTATTCATTTATTAATTTATTCATTTATTCATTTATTCATTTATTCATTTATTCATTTATTCATTTATTCATTTATTCATTTATTCATTTATTCATTTATTCATTTATTCATTCATTCATTTATTCATTTATTCATTTATTCATTTATTCATTTATTCATTTATTCATTTATTCATTTATTCATTTATTCATTTATTCATTTATTCATTTATTCATTTATTCATTTATTCATTTATTCATTTATTCATTTATTCATTTATTCATTTATTCATTTATTCATTTATTCATTCATTCATTCATTCATTCATTCATTTATTCATTTATTCATTTATTCATTTATTCATTTATTCATTCATTCATTTATTCATTTATTCATTTATTCATTTATTCATTTATTCATTTATTCATTTATTCATTTATTCATTTATTCATTTATTCATTTATTCATTTATTCATTTATTCATTTATTCATTCATTCATTTATTCATTTATTCATTTATTCATTTATTCATTTATTCATTTATTCATTTATTCATTTATTCATTTATTCATTCATTCATTTATTCATTTATTCATTTATTCATTTATTCATTTATTCATTTATTCATTTATTCATTTATTCATTCATTCATTCATTCATTCATTCATTCATTCATTCATTCATTCATTCATTCATTCATTCATTCATTCATTCATTCATTCATTCATTCATTCATTCATTTATTCATTCATTCATTCATTCATTTATTCATTTATTCATTTATTCATTTATTCATTTATTCATTTATTCATTTACTCATTTATTCATTTATTCATTTATTCATTTATTCATTTATTCATTTATTCATTCATTCATTCATTCATTTATTCATTTATTCATTTATTCATTTATTCATTTATTCATTTATTCATTTATTCATTTATTCATTTATTCATTTATTCATTTATTCATTTATTCATTTATTCATTTATTCATTTATTCATTTATTCATTTATTCATTTATTCATTTATTCATTTATTCATTTATTCATTTATTCATTTATTCATTTATTCATTTATTCATTTATTCATTTATTCATTTATTCATTTATTCATTTATTCATTTATTCATTTATTCATTTATTCATTTATTCATTTATTCATTTATTCATTTATTCATTTATTCATTGATTCATTCGTTTTTCGTTTCAGTTCCTGTCTGTTGCCGATGCGACAATTATGGTGGAGATCATTATTTGCCAAGGTGCCACCATATATTTCACAGTCAGTGTTCACAGTTCATGGAAATAGATGTTTCCAAGGCACTGCCAGAAGTGAAATGCTTGGAATGTGGTTTGGTTCAACTGCCACCAGAAAAAATTGTTTTGAATCATTGATGTTAGTTGATTATTATATTATTGTTGTGCCTTCTTACTATTAGCAAATTGAATAATTGGAATGTCAATTGTGATGCTTTTTTTTATGGAATAACATCCAATTCATTGATTTTAGAGATACAGGGTGTCCCAAGTTATCGTACACAGGCAATATCTGGTTTATTTGACAAGATAATATAATTGAGAGTGGCAAACCCCAGAGAAGCGTGTTTGTTAGGTCCATTGCTCTTTATCATATATTTAAATGACATTGAACACAGTTCTGGATTTGAATTACACCCGGATTACACTGTATTGAGATTTTGTAAGCATGTTAACATGGTTGATTCTGAACATGAGTTTGGATCAGGCAATTGTTGAAATGAAGTCTTTAAATAGCATTGAAACATTTATTCAATAATGAACTTAAACTAAATGTCAGTAAAACACAAATTATGATCTCTACATCACCTTATAAATATGATCAAATTGATCGGGCAAATGCAGTTATGAAAATTATTGATATTAACTTTGGAAATGTTCGTTGAAATAGAATATTTGGGATTCATAATTGATAAAAATTTTGAACTAGTTAGTCATGATGATTTTATTGTAATAACATTCAAAACAAACTTTCCTTTTTTTCTCGTATATGTGAGATTGTGTGCAGGTATGCTAGGATTGCTAGGCTGACTATTTTTGGAAGTTTAATACAACCCCACTTTGATTATTGTTCAACAATACTATTTCTACTTGGTAAAAATGAAATAGCACAATTTCAAAAGCTTCGAAATTCAATCAAAAGCTTATATTATACAGCAATCAAAGTGATGTTGAAGTGTCTTGACTGGTTTGAGAAATTCATATCGATGAATAATATATAAGTAATATTTGAGTATATTATGTTCAATCGCTATTTTTTCAACATTTCATGATGATTTTCTATTTTTGATTATCGAAAATTGTATAATATCAAAAGTAATTGAAAATAATGATCCAAATGGCAAGAAAAAATTTTCCATTCCGCTTTGCTCATGAAATTTTTGTTTCTTATACAAACCAGGGTTGGAAAAAATCAAGATTTTTTTGAAAAAATCGGATAAAGCACGACTTTTTGAAACAATTTCAAATAATCA